CATATGTATGCGAGGGAATGTGAATAGTGGAGAAAGGGGATCATTTTGGGCAGGGAAATATAGAACCAGCATAACAGTAAGGTGGCTTCCAGTGTCCTTGAATATGGTACAGGAAACTAGTGGGATATAAATATAGCTAAGTCATCTTTGGGCTCATGTTCACTTTCATCTTTTGTGATATCATTCTGTTATTATTTTTCACTTATAAAATGAAGTCACACTAAAAAATGTTAGAGCTCTTATTGAGATTAGTGGAAATAATAGGGGAAAAATGATGTTGTCTTGGACCATAAAACCACTATTAATATAGAAAATTCTGTGATACTGTATTTCTTGCTGTGTCCACATTCCCAATTTAAGATTTGGAGAACTCAGAATCATTCATTCTTCAAGTTGTAATTTTTTTTTTAATGTAGAGTTTTCTGACTCAATCAAATAGAAGTGAGCTTTCTTTTTCCTTTCTAATACTGATACGATACAAAACTTATGTTTATTTTGCTAAAATGGAATTTGAAACAATTGTACACTGCCTTTTCCTAAGAAAGGATTATTTTCTTCTTCAAAATCAGAAAACTTAATTGGAGAGTTAAGTCGGTCAATGTTGAGAGTTAGGACTGAGAGGTATTTGGTAGTTCCTGCCATGTTATCCACCTTTTTGGGGGCTGCAACAACTGGGAACTTCCTATGGTTCTTGGATTCTCAGTTTGGGTGCAGTTTCTTGGTCTTTATTCTGGTCTTTTTGGTTTTCTATGTGCAGGACATCTTGAAGTATTTTTTGTAGGGCTGGTTTGGTGGAGAGATATTGTTTCAATTTTTCTTTGCTATGGAAGGTTGACCTTCGGTTATGAAGGAGAGTTTAGCTGGGTACAGTATTCTTGGTTGATAGTTGTTTGTCTTTAGGGCATGGCATAAATCATTCGGGGTTCTTCTTGCTTTAATTGTTTCTGCTGAGAAATCTGTGTCTAACATATTTATAAGGTATTTCTTTGTTGCTTTGTATGTCCCTCCCCCCATGATATAACCCTTGTTTTCACTGTATTTGATATTGGTATAATTTGTGGAGGGGAAGGGACAAAACAACTTGTTTAAATAGGGATACAGGTGGACCCATTGCACCAATGAGATGTTCAAGATGTTATGTCAAAAATGAACTTTACAACTTTGGCGTGTGCGGTGGCGGGGGCAGTTTGGCAGGGGGGGGAGGGAGGAGGAGGGGGAGAGGGAGAGATGGGAAGGGATGGGAAGGGGAAACGAAGGAGGAGGCAACAATACTTGAGAAGAAATGCACTCATTACCTTGCCCATGTAATTGTAACCCCTCTGTACGGTATTTTCACACACACACACACAAAAATCAGAAAAGTTTTAATTCTATTTCCATTAAATCATAATAACTTTTCAAAAGAGAAAAGATTTATTCATTATTATTATGATGATTTTTAAACTACTTATTTTTTAATAACTTGGCATTTAGTGGGAAAATACCACAACTATCATTTGAACATCTTGAATATAACATTTTATTTAGATTTCAAAGTTGTTGTATTATTGAAAGATTGTCATAAAAAAGACTATATTTACAGAAAATGTAAGTAAATAAATAAAATCATTTTACTGCTCATGTGGTGTTGAAATTTCCTTGTTAAAACTTATATTAAATTATTTTCAGTGTGCAATTAAAACCGACTTGTTTTGATAAATGATGCTTGATCAACCAATCATGGTAGCGAACTAATTCTACCTAATCAATCAACATAACATAGTAAACGTGTGATCATTATAAAAATAAATGAGGATATTGTAAAAAATAACCATTTGTTTTTAAAATTGATTAAAATTTAATATTAGAGAAAAAATTAACGTTTTTAGAAAAATTGTTCAGAAAGTAGAGTTTTCCCATACCTATTCCCTACCCCAGTACAATTCTTCACACTTTTAATGCAACTCTAATTATTAACACCTATTAGTGTACTATTTTTGGTCTAATTGATAGAGGTTTTTGGTGCATTCATTATTATCAAAAGTACAGTTCTGTGAATTTGGCTAAATGTACAATGACATGTTTTGTGTTACTCCTTAAGCATGCTTTGTGTGTTCTGTGTTCTCATCGCCTTCTCCCGCAGAAGTACTTGGATTAAAAATAGTTACAACTTCTTTACTGTTTTCTAGAATATCTTAGAGTTGGAATACTACAAAATTTAATCTTTCACTTAATGTGTTTTTAGCCCTCCTTCATATCTTTTCATGGAAACATTTCTTTTTTTATTACTATTAGCCCACTATATGGATGTACATGCATTTTCTTCTCTCTCTCTTTCTTTTTCTTTCTTTCTCTATTTTTTATTTATTTATAAATGTTAGGAAGAATCTACTTGTATCTTGCTTCAAATGACTTTTTTTTTTTTTGTCATTGGGCTTGAACTCTGGGCCTGGGCGCTGTCCCTCAACTCTTCAGCTCAAGGCTAGCACTCTATCACTTGAGCCACAGTGTCACTTCTCATTTTCTGGTGGTTTATTGGAGATAAGAGTCTCATGGACTTTCCAGTCTCTGCTGGCTTTGAACCGCAATTCTCAGATCTCAGCCCCCTGAGTAGCTGGAATTACAGGCGTGAGCCACCAGCGCCTGGCCAAATGACGTTTTTATAAGTGAAAATATTTTAGCTTTTACTTTTGTTTTAGTCCCCCTGCCCACCATTATATTCGGAAAGGAATTTTTATTTTAGGGAAGTTCTATAGTCAATATTACTAATATATACCTTTAAAAAAAGTTGGAGTTATGTTATATATTAATTTAATATGTTATTTGGATTGTTTCATGAAATGGTTGATACACGTCAAAAACATTTTATTTTTCCTGAAGAATAACATGTTATCATTTACTGTAGTTATCATGTAGTACACTATATTTCTGAACTTATTCCTCCTGCTTAACCAAAACTTTTTATCCTGTGAGTGTGCCCTCCCAACCTCCCATCCACCCATGCCCTGTCATTGAAGCAGCAGCCAGTCCTGCACTTTACACTCTGTACTTCTGTAAGATCTACTCTTAGATTCCATGTATAAAAAGAATAATAATTAAGAGCTAAGCATTCTCATCACCAGTGACGGTGAGATAGTGAGCTAATTGTGGTCATTCTACAATATACATTCATTTTTAAAACAAAACATAAGTTTTACAATTTATAATTTTGTCACTAGAAAAGCTGACTACTTTAAAGCTTGATCACTAATATGTTTTAGACATGATAAAGTTTTTCTTCTTATGTGCCAAACAGGAGGAAGGCTTCAGAGTGAAGCCTATATTTTCAACTTCTCCAACAGAATAAACCATGATCTCCTCTTGTCTCTCTTTGACCTGTAGTCTCTGATTTTGTAATTATTTTCCCTCTAAAATGATCGCTTACTTTTGCAACCTGTTTTCTTCCTTTCTTTTTTTCTATTTTTTTTATTGTGAAAATACTGTACAGAGGGGTTACCTCCTTTGTTTCCTTGATGTTTTCTTCCTTTCCATAGAAAATACTCCCTCTGCTTAAAATTCATTAGCCTCTACAAGGAAGATTGTAATCTATGAATTGTTAGCCTGGTGTGTTTCCACTGCATCTCCACAGACACTTTACTGAATGAATGATTTCTCTATGATTACCTTACTAATTGTGGAGATGCATGGTATGATAAAGCACCAGGCATAGATTCCAGTTGATTCCATTTTGACAATTAACTCAGATCTAACTTCCCAAGTGTCATTTTACTTTTCCAAACAGGGAAGAATGGTAAGAATGCATAAGGATTAAGTGAGATAATTTAAAGGAGGCTCATATTACAAGATTTTCTTCCCAATGAATAATTAAGGAATATTAGCAATAATTTTGAAACTAATCTTTTTTTCTGATACATGTCAAATTCCTTCCTCAGGACCTGTATTACATTGTTTTCACTTCTTATTATGCGGAAACACTTCTTTCTTTCTTTCTTTACAGTGTTTCTCAAAAATCCTCTTTCCAAGCATGTGAGTGCCAGTGTCTATCTTCCACAAAGCACACATATGTAATAATATTGTCAATAAACTTTTACACACTGAAGATGATTCCTTTCTAAATCTTTCAGCAATGACTAAGAAAAAAAGAACACAGTTTATTTTCTTTTATAGTAATCCTTTCTGTTGTGCTCTAAAAGGAGCATTTTTATTCATTCTCTGAAAACTATCAAAAAAGAAAATGAATGCAATGATATAGCTTCTCATCAGAGATGTCTTTGTTGTCTTAAAACTTTATAATTATTTCTTGCAATATACTAGAGCATAAACTTATCACTGACAGATGGTTATAACATGATGAGTTAAAAGTATTAGTAATTTAACATATTTAAGCTTCCGTGGAAAATTAGCAACTTTGTGAAAATTGACAAAACATTTCCTAATATGATTTAGGCAAAGCTGTAAGGATTTTCATTAAATAATATAAAATAAATTAGAAGGATAGAAGGAAGATCCAGGGGTAGTAAACAGAATCATATTAAAAGATGTCTTTAAGAATGTTTTAACTATTTGAAGACTGAAACATTAATATTGCATTCAACTATAGCTTGAAAACCAGAAAAACCTTTCTTGATTTTCAGATAAATACTCCCATTGCAACTAGAATTTGACTAATGCATTTAGAAAACTATAATAGATACGAACCAGAATTTTTTAACTGAAGGTGAAAGCAACTGTGTAATGGCTAAGTTGAATAATAATGTACATCCTGGATATATGTGAATTTCTTCAATAGTTTTGCTTTCTATAACTGGCTACGATAAATACCGATTTGCTAATCTGGAAGCACAGAAATGAATATTTTAGCAAATTAGATGCTTCACTTCAGAGTGATGAATGCTTTCAATTTTACCAGAAGTGCTACAAAAAAAAAATCTCAAAAGTAAAATTTTCATTTAGTTGCCAGAGTTTTCTTGTGAGTCACACCGACCTTTTTTCTTTCTCTTCCTTTGTGTTCCTCTCCACAGAAAGCTGACCTTGCAGTTGCTCCACTGGCTATTACCTACGTTCGAGAGAAGGTCATCGACTTTTCCAAGCCCTTTATGACACTTGGAATAAGTATTTTGTACCGCAAACCCAATGGTACAAACCCAGGCGTCTTCTCCTTCCTGAATCCTCTCTCCCCTGATATCTGGATGTATATTCTGCTGGCTTACTTGGGTGTCAGTTGTGTGCTCTTTGTCATAGCCAGGTAACATGCTCACTTTTGTGATTTTTTTGGCAATTGTTACCTCCTTTTTCTAACTAATAATTGTCAAAAGTCACAATCAATTTTACTTCTCTTTTTCCCTTATATCCCATGGGTGCTAAAGAAAAACAAAAAGAACTTTAAGAATTATATGAACTTACTATAATGTATTACAATGCTGCCTTTTTGGGGCCAGAAAGCATGCTGGTTGTGTCAGTAGGCTATAAGTCTTATAGGGATCTTAATCAGACTCTAAAATTAGTCACAATTACACTGATTTGGAATAATTTCTTCCTTTTGAAAATGCCTGTGAACCAAAAGCATCTTTGGCTTACTTGAATTAATAAAATTCTGACATAAGAAAAATAATCAAACCAGTGAATTTTGAAAGGAGACCCTCTTTCTAAGGAGCCAAGGCAAGTTATTTTTAAAACAATCATTCTAAGTATATAAAAATTATCATAGTTTTCTGCACTGAAAGTTGTTTTTCACAGAATAAATACATCACTTCAAAAATTAAATCTTGTCATTGGCATTTGTATATGCTTCCAAGTAGAAAGCCGAATGCCTCAGTAGAAAATGAATAGTTCAAATTATTACGATGGCTTCTAAAATCTCCAAGTCCATGTGGGATTTTTTTCCATTATGTTTCTGGGAGAGGTAGATAGTTACAATAATTTTATGTTTACATTTCTAACGAACTTTTAGCTGATAAGTAATTTCAACATAAGTTAGTTTTCTCTTGCCCTAGTTAAGATTAGTAAAGACATAGACAGTCACATATGTTTTTCGTTCTTTGAGACAATATATTCTATTAGGTAATAAAAAGATTCCAAAATAAGTTAGAATTTTACATATAATTTTTCATGTAGATAAAAGTTTTTATCTTGTAAATTAAACTTATTTCACAGCCCTATGATGAAATTAAATGTGAAAATGTCTTTTACTCAATTATATTTTTATAAATTTCTTGGTAAAATATTATGGAAGATATTTGTCCCTCATTAAACTTATTTTCTATGTGAGAACACCATTATTTTCATCATAGCAAAACAATAAGTTTTGTTCATTGAGTTTTAAAATAAATCAATGAAAGGTGTAGCATATTTTATATAGTTCTATTTTTGATATAGTTATTATATAAAGAATATATATAATATAAATATATTGCTTTCTTGTTTTTACTGAATGTATTCTAAATTTAGACTTGAGGATTTAAGACAAATATTATTTGCCTTTGTCTGAAATATTTGTATTGAATCACATGATCTTATAACATTTGAAACCTAATGGTAATCTGTTAGGATTTCATTTAAAGTTATGAATTTTCCCTCAAAAATGAGACATTCAGAATGTGACATTCAGAAGCTTTTAGCTCAAATGATTTCAGATTCTATAACAATAGACAGATCTGAGGATCATAGTTGGAAGCCAACCCCTGCAGAAAAGTCTTGGTGAGACTCTTAATCTCAAATAAACTAATCAAAAAACAAAAGAAAGAAAGAAAGGAAAGAAAAGACAAAAGAAATAAAAGCAAGCAAGCTTGAAGTAGTTCTGTGGCTTAAGTGGTAGTGTGCTAGCTTTAAGCACAAAGAGGCTCAGGGCCAGCTCCTAGGGTCTGAGTACCAGCTCCAGGACCAGCAAAATAAATAAATAAATAAACAATAAATAAATAAATAAATAGGATCTTTAGACCAATTACATCTTCTTTTTAATATTCTCCAAAAAAGCCATCTTACTTCTATGTATTCAGAAAAATGAATTCAAGGCTTTCAGCTTATTTAACTGAGCAATTAGAAAACTCTTCTTTGAGCTCAATTGAACTGGACAGAAAAATAAATAATGTGAATTGTAGTAAAAACCTTCCCCCATATCTTCAGGTAGAGTTATTCTTTCTTATTTTTTTATTTTTTTATTTTTTGGTCCGGTCGTGGGGCCTGAACTCTGGGCCTGGGCGCTGTCCCTCACCTCTTCAGCTCAAGGCTAGCGTTCTACCACTTGAGCCACAGTGCCACCTCCGGCTTTTTTCTTTTTGCTTATGTGGTGCTGAGGAATCGAACCCAGGGCCTCGAGCATGCAAGGCAAGCACTCTAACACTGAGCCACCTTCTCAGCCTGAGTTATTCTTTCTTAATCAAATAACAAAAAATGTTTCCAGGAAAGACACAAATAAAGCCTAAAGAAAACTTTACTGAGAAAACTATCTAAACATAACCCAAGAAAAGTCTAACAGTAGTTTGTTAGAGCTCTTCAATATGGACATTTATGGTATCCTGAATTTATGTTAGAGATTTTCAATATTCTTAATTTTTCCAAGCCCGGGTTTTTTTTTGTTTGCTTGTTTGTTTTTGTTGTCATTATGTTATGTTTATTTTTGTCAGTCATAGGGCTTTAACTCTGGGACTGGGAACTATCCCTGAGCTTTTCTGCTCAAGGCAACTGCTGTATCACTTGAGCTACAGTGCCACTTCTGGTTTTCTGGTGGCTAATTGGAAATGAGTCTCACAGACTTTCCTAACTGGGTTGGCTTTGAACTGCGATCCTCAGATCTCAGCCTCCTGAGTAGATAGGGCTGCAGGCTTGAGCTACTGGTGGTTGGCTTTTTTTTTTTTTCCTGTGTGTGTGTGTGTGTGTGTGTGTGTGTGTGTGTGTCCATCCTGAGGCTTGAGCTCAGTGTATTAGATACTGTCACTGAGCTTTTTGTGCTTAAGGTAAATGCCTACCACTTCAGCCAAAGCTCTAATTCAGGGTTTTTTAGTGATTAATTGGAGATACAAAGTCTCATGGACTTTCCTGCCAAAGCTGGATTAAACCCTTATCCCCAAAGTTCAGCCTCCTAAGAAAACATGATTGTAGGCCAAGCCACCAGCGCAGGACTATGACCAGATCCTTTGAAGTTAAAATCAAAAACAAGAACTGAAAGATGTCTCTGTTTCTTTAACAGTTTAGAACCACATTAGCTAACACAGACAAATCACACACACACACACACACACACACACACACACACACACACATATACACACACACACACACATATAGCTATAAATCTCACTTTGTATCAAAGTGAAATATTATGTAACTGTGTTATTGTGTCGATTAACTATCATTATATTTTTTCTAGTTTTATTGGTTACCAAATCCACATTTATGCTGGGCACTGGTGGCTAATGCCTGTAATTCTAGCTACTCAGGAGGCTGAGATCTGAGGATCACGGTTCAAAGCCAGCCTGGGCAGGAAGGTCCGTGAGACTCTTATCTCCAATAAACCACCAGAAAACTGGAAGTGGTGCTGTGGCTCAAGTGGTAGAGTGCGTGCCTCGAGCTGAAGAGCTGAGGGACAGTGCCTAAGCCCAGAGTTCAAGCCCCATGGCCGACAAAAAAACAAACAAACGAAACAACCCCCCCCCAAAAAAAAACATATTTATATGTATTTGAATACATAAAGTCAGATGTTGAGTCATTTTCTAGTATCTTGTAACTTTAGAAAGTTGTTAATATATTTGTCTTTAGTTACTAAATTTGAAAATGATCTGATTTCAGCTTCTTATTGAACAATGAGAAAATCAATTCACAAGTACTTTTATATAAGTACTTGGTGGATGAATTAGTAGATATGTTATGAAACACTAATTGTTAGATAACATATGCTAAGTAATAAATATTATTTGATATTGCTGGTGAAGTAATACATAATTAAACATAGTCTTTCACAAATATATTGTTCACTTCCCAATAATGAAATAATCTTGTTTAAAAATACGTTCAACTCTGGGAGAAAACAAAAACAATAAAAATCAGTTTAAAGAAATCTTTGAATAGATTCAGTTTTACTTCTAAAGTGAAATTCCAAACTAGAATATTAGCTTTATTACCCCTCTAAATTAGGTAGAATTTAGGTTATTGATAATAATGATGCAGCATTTTCTCTAGCTGTATATTTTATCTCTATGATAATTACAAAGGAAAAGTAGTTTAACCTAATTTTTTGATGTGCAACTCATTTTCATTGATAATAATTAACACAAAGGTCTACATTAAATACTCCATTAACAAAATTCATTATTTTATGTCATTAGGCTATGTCATTAAGTTTTAGGAAATTATGTGCTTAAGAGTACATACTTAGGTCTTTGGTTTCTAATCTGAAACATAATGAGTGATTTAAATATTGTAAATTTTAATTGTTATTTTTTCTTTTTTGACCACATTTTTGTATTCTTATTGTTATAATTAATCTATGCCATTTTAGCTATTAAGCTTTGTCTTCAATTTGTTTTATATTTACTTTATTCCATCCATCATTCACATAATTAGTCAAATATCCATTAGCCTCTAGTAAGGATGCATTTGGATCCCACAGCATCATAATTTGTTTTCCCATGTATTCACTAACAGATTCAACAAAAATTTTATCTCTCATCTATTCACAATTTATTTAACAATTCTCTACTGGCTACTTAAAATGTGCTAAGAATTGTACCAGATGATAAATGCAAGAAAAGAGATGATTGGATCTACTTATTCATAAAATATCCACTATCAGATATTAATCTGATAGTAAACACAACTAGCTTTGAGTAAAATTATGAGAATATTTTATTGCTATCCTAAGATTTTAATGTATGCACATATTTTAAGCATGTATTCCACAGAATGTTTTAAAAAGTACATATTTCACTAGAGAGAAAAGTTGAACTCTAAAAAAATATTGTGCATACTGTTCTGATTGAAGCTTATTGAATATTGCTCTATCATAGTATTAATAACTTTAATTTTATTAACAATAAAATAGTGATTGTTAGGATTCCTGTATTTAAAAATGCGTTTAAAATGTATAATTTGGGTGATGAACTTTAAAACTTTCTTCTCATTTTTTTCTATAAGTAATACCTCTAAGAATGCTTAAGAAATGCTCTAAGTATATTTTACCAATGTCAAGGAAGAAAATTATCTTGGTATTGTTTTGCATAATAAGGTCTCTTACAAGTAGATTTAATATAA